GCAGTGTATGAGCAGTGTAGGAGTTTCCAGCTGAGCTGGTAGAAAATGGGAAAATGGTTGGCCAGGGAGATTTCGGTAAATGCACTTTTGGCAGAATCCAGCATCCCTGTGTTATGTGATGACTTCAATGAGACTTAATGAATTTATAAATTGTTCTGAAGTTCTCGTTTGGCTGCTGCACTACTGTCAGTCTACACTGAGAACTGCAGCTTTATATGGTAGAAACTTTGCTTAGACTTTGATTAAACTTTGATAAAGACTTTGATTAATAGTACTGTATGGAGAAGTCAGAACAAGCCACCCCAGGGGCTGATGAAGAAAAAAAAGTCAAGTGCTGACTAGCCAGCATAATATGCAGTAAACACGAATGAGAAGTTAATCTATAATTGAAACAATGTATTAATTAATACAGAATAAGTAATGAAATCTGTGGTAAATCCAGCGAATAATCTTGTCAATCTGCTCCTCTAGGAGCAGCTAGAACACCATGCCCTTGAATAACACAACAGTAACTGTATGCTACCAGATAGGAGTCTCTCTCCAATCAGATCATCAGCAGGTGGTTTTGCTTGCTGGTTTTTACTAATTTCAAGATGAGAAATCTTTCTAAAATCAAATGGCAAAGTGGGAAAATCAAAGGAAGCAAAAGGAGAGTGCCAAGGGTGTTACTGCCAGTCTGCAGGTGGCATTCCAAAGTGAGGTGAGACAGAAAGGGACAGCCCTGACCTTCCTTATCCACTCTGATGCCATGTCTCCCCCGCCTCCCCAGGGCTGGCACTGCCAGTTGTGTGACACCCCGCTGCCCTGGGGAGTACAGCTGGCTCCTGCTGAGCCTCAACCAAGTTAGCAATGGGGAGAATCAGTGTCTGAGGGAGCCAGTGTATGGCCATGGGAATGCCAGTGACATGACAGAAGCATGCAGTTTGGGTGAGGTGCTGGCAGGACTTTCCATGAATAAGTCAAAGATTTTCAGGTGAAGGCAACAACTAAGCAGGCTTCAAGTGACTCTGGAATAACCCCACTGAGTCAACGTGCCAGTCCAGGTCTGTCTATCCCTTTGGCAGTGTACTGTGGAAGTGTTTGGTTTTTATAGCAAAGACTGTGAAACTACAGTTTATTCACTAATTGGCTTAAGGGTAGAGGCATTTTTAAGGGAATTGCTTGCAGCTTTCTGAATTTATTGGGGTAATCCAATAATCCAAACAGTTTCAACTATGTTATTTCAGTTCCTCGTGACTTGGAGGCAGATCCAGTGCAGGACCCAGTTGCCCAACCCTCAGAGCAGAACTGAAAGCATAGGACAAAGGGCCCCCAGGTCACAAGGAACTTCAAGCAGTTGGCATATGTGGTCTGGCACCGAGATCAGTTAGCCCACCCTGGCCTCCAAGCTATTGCTGTTAAGACTGTTTCTAGTCTTAGACTAGACTGTTAAGTCTGAACTAGCTCACTTGCAGCCTGTTCAGGCACTTTTGTCCACATATATGCCCAGGTGGATGCAGGATGAGCATCAGTTTCAGCAGATTTTCTGCCATTGCTTCCCACACATGCCTCATTGCCTCATATAGTTCCCATCTAGGATTGGTGCAGCTCGTGACTCCCACCAAAGCTGCTTATGATGTGACTTTCCTAGAGAGTAACTAAGGAGAGGAGAAACAAACAAAAAAAAAAAAGCCAAAAAAAGAAGAAAGTAATGCAGTTTGGAGGTGCTGCTGGCTCAGCAGAGAGGCTGCTGTGGAAGTGCTGTGCTCAGAGCATATGAAGAGCAAGGAAGGGAAACAGACTCCCATGAGGAGAAGACTGAGGACCTACTTATTTTCAAGGCACATCTATCTTCTGGAGTGTAGACATGTCTTCAAACTCAAAGAAACTACCAGAGTGGAAAAGGTGGAGGTAATGGGGGCTAGCACAGTTCCAGCTTAGTCCAGCATCATACTGAAGTTGCTTGTCTTTTTGAGGAACTAGCACTGAGAAATCATCAGTTTCCCCCATATGCCATTTTATTCCTTACAAACTAAGAGGGACCCGATTGCTGGTTGTGAGCAGAATAAGAAAGATCATTGCCTCTAATGGTGCCAGTTTTGACAAAATCTTAAAGACTAACCATATTTTCAGATAACAATTTAGATACTGTTTTATCAGTACCCAGATTTCTCTGGGTGCCAATGCAGATGGGAGATGACACTCCATAATGACTGTTTATGGCCTCCTGCATAAGCAATGTTTTGTTGCAGCAGTCGTGGTACAGTGGTACACAACCCTTGTCAGAAGTTTATATTGCAGGTTTTTAACTCGTGCCTGGGTAGCCCAGCAAGGGCTAAAGGATCCTTGTGGTGCATCCTCTGGGCATTTGAAGTCACTCTCACTGCAGTGTATGGAAGACTAAAAGTGAAGGGTTTTAAAGTGGCCCTCAGTGCAGTGTATAGAAGACCGAGAGGGATTTGCACACTTTGTGCAATATTTTGCTTGATCTTCATAAGAACGTATGTTCATGCCAGTAAATATTTCTTACCTTGATTAGCAGGGCTTAAGGTCTGAAATAATAAATAATCCAGACCTCACCAACACCCATTACAAAACAGGGAATCTTCAGTCACATTGACATCATTCTCCTGTTTGGGAATGATGCTATTTTGGTGCATTTGGAATGGAAGACATACAGCTTCATATGTAAAATATTTAACAGTTTCTCCTGTGGTCATGAATGCCTTGATATTAGAAATACCCTGCTTATAGACCAAGACATTTCCAGTACCGTTCATTTCCCATGCCAAATTTGTGGTTTGTGATGGAATTATACTTTTAAGAACATGGACTAGTGATGGCATTTCTCAGTTGTCATGATAACTTTGTCCTGTTGGACAGAGAAATAAAAGAACAGTAATAAAATCCAAGTAGTGTTCTCTAAACAAAGAAAATCAATCAAATGCTGTTTATTGATCCATGTTAGAAATCTCTATAACAGGCTCAGTGAGTGGACAGCTAGGTGAAGCATATACCTGATGGCCAGGCTTTTTAAAACACCCAGTTCTAGCATGATGCCACTGAAAGAAATTATACTCTCCTTATGCAACCTCACAGCAAATCTACCAACCTATAGTGCGATGCATTATCCTCACCATTTCTTCAAAAAAGGAGTGAGAACAGAAAAAGGATTTTCACAGCTGGCAATGTACTAAAACATATTAGCTGTCATCAGGAGAATATAATGGTACTACTGTTTAAGAAAATGTTACAAGCTTGTTTAATTTTCTTTTTTTTTTTTTTTTTTCAAATGGAGCCTTTTCTCCTTGAATGATGGAATAAAATGGGGGAAGAGAAGACAAGTAAATATTTTCAGCCTTCTCAGCTGAAATCCATAATTACAGCTTATTTCTTTCTGGTTTCTGATACATAGATTTCACAGAGCTGATTGCAGGCTTCAGGAACTATTTGTGCCTTTTAAACTGAAGCATTTCAGGTTTTCTCTAATTAACCACTTGCAGAGTACATCACAGGCTTAGTGCCTACTCACCAGCCACATTTCTCATAAACAGATCTGTTACCGCACTAAAATGAGGGCAAGAGGCCTTCTGCGTTAATAGTTTATGAAGATAGCTAAATTACAGCTGACCATACAGTATTCTGGCTATGATCTTCTCTTAAGCCTCTCTCTGGACTCTCTTTTTCTGGAGGGACAAAGTCTCTTGAAGTGATGACACCTTCTCCTGGATGATAATAGTTTAGACTGGTTGGTGTGGGACAGCATCATTTTGAAAAATAGCTGTAGGAAGTGCTTAGGCAACCGTCCTTATACAAAGCCCCAGCTAATTAAAATAGAAACTTTGGCTTTTCCCCTTAAGGTGATAGAGTTTTACAGCTAAAGAAACAAGACCAAAAAATGCAGGAAGCAGAGCAGCTTTTACCAGGCACCAGTTCAAAGGGGAGGAAAATGAAAAGCCTGTGATATATCCTCATGAAACTGCCCTGGAAGAAGGTCTTCACACAGTTACCCACTTTTTTCCTACTCCTTTTTCACCTGCTCAGTGTTGCTGCATGTTACTCATAAGATTCTAACTTCTTGGAGCAGGGTGCTGTCACCATTTTATCTTATACAGTGGCAAGCACAAATTGTTTCTTAAAAACAAATGGTAAAAATGCTGTGTTTCCTTCCTGCTTCTTTCCCTCCACTCCTCCTCCCCTCCTCTCTTCATTCCTCTGCACCTCATGATATTTTTGTCACTTTCTGGATCCCAAGTTCTCATTCACCTCATTCTCTTGCTAATAATTTCTGCCCAGGTGCAGCCATAAGGCAAAACAATGGTGCAAAAGGAAAGCTGTCAGGTAGACAAAAGTAGCATCAAAAAAGCAGTAGAGAAGGAGAAATTCTGTATCACTGATTGACAAAACCCTATGGCAGGCCATATGCATGCATTTACCATTCTAAAGAAGTAATCATGCTTGCTGAAAGTGTTAGTCTTAGAAGGAAACTCCGACTTTGAAGGAATGAGTATTGTAATGCTCAGGTGATGACTTGTGTTATTTCAGCTAAACATGGCAGAGAACTGATGGACAGGTATTTCATAGACACTGGCATTTTCTTCACAGACTAGCTGTTTTCCTCTGTGCCGTTTTATGTTTTGCATAATACCATATGAACCTCATTACTGCAGTTTGGAAGGTTTTGCACAGCACAGGGAGAAGAGGAATAGTTTGATTGATGCAATTTTCACATTAGCCCAGTGGATAATCAGAAGAGCTCTTCTATTATAAGCACATGCAGAAAACAAACCATTATAAATCCTACCTACAACCCAGGGCCAACAGAAAAAACCCCTAAAACTCCAACAATACAGGCTTCTTGACAGAGTCATTGTTAACAGCTTAATAGCGGCTAGAAGGCAAGATCTGGTCTTATGTCAGGAGTACAAGGCACACAGCAGTTTGAAAGAAGTATAAATATGTAGTTACAGAAATTACATCTTCCTGATGATAAAAAACGAATGGAATAAATGACTGCCTACCTTGGAGAGCTTGGAGTGTACGAGTCTGTACAACAATACAGAGTTGCAGGACCAGCTGTGGTGCACTTTCCAGAAACGTGGCTAGCAAATGCAGCATACTCACATCTGCATACTCATACACCATTTTCCAATAAAACCGCCATCTGTCATTCTCTCCACTCTGTCGACTCCGGATGCCCAAGTATATTGTGTGGAAATACCTAGAAATAAAAGAGAGACATTATAGAAATGCAGAATGATACCTTACAGGTAACACTTCTGCTTGAAAATTACCAACATTTTTTCGATGTACTTAAAAATAATGAACATTTATTTAAAAGAATTATTTTATTACAAATAATAGCTGATGATGAGAGTAAACTACACTGAAGACAGCTTCCTTCATAAAAACACTTAAAAAACTTAGCATTGTCTTATTAAATAGTATTAAAGAACTCAGTTTTCTGAACTGAAATATAAAGGGCATGTGTTGATCATGTGGCCTCCCTCAGGTTTTTCAAATAATGGGTGGAAAAGGCTGATTCTGCAGTGGTGTCTTCAAAGAACTCTGAGCAGCTCTATGTGGACTTGGAAGACCACCTGCACTGCAAGTCAGGGGTGGTCTTACCCTGAGAGCTCTACTATGGCTGAGCTCATTGTCCTGTTTTTCCACCTAACGCATTGAATATCATGTTTCAGATACTGCCAAATATATAGTGCTTTTTCTCATAGTTTATTTTAGGAGGAGAGGAGATGTAGCTGTGAGTTCCTATTTTAGGAGGAGCGGAGATGTGATTGTGGGTTCCCTTGGTGATTAGAAGTGACTCACTACGATAGCTCCCATGTAGCAGCAGCAGGGAGAAGAAGCAGAAGCCAGGAGCCCAACAGGCTGCTGCTTGCTGGCAGTAGTAACCAGCAGATGAGAGAAGTAATGGTCAGAAGACACGTGTCAGCTCTGATGGCCTGTGCAAGACTGGGGGGGAAACAAACAGCGTTCAGCAAATTAAAGATTTCAGTGGGTGCAGGAGCAATGGGTGGTTTTAGAAAACAACGGATGTCTTCTGATGGCCAGGCTACCCATCTGCTGTGATTCTTTTCATCACCTTTGAAGAGCTTGTGGTGGTGTCCGATGACATGCTTGTGCTACAGCACGACTGCTCTGAGTGGCCTTTGATCTGCTCTGTTATTCTGATCTGCTGTCTGTTATTCTGTGTCAGGAAGTTTAGGCTCCCACCAGGCTCCTACAATTTAAGTTCAAAACTACTTAAGGCTGGCTGAAAAAACGGCTCACATAATGAAAAATTCTGAAGATTAAGATATTGTCTTGTATCAGGGTGTCCTGCATCCTAACATGATGCCCTGTTGGGGTACTAACTAATGTGAATCTCTTTTTCTTGATGTCCTTCAGATCCTAGCCCTGAAAGTATTTCTTTATGATCTTTTTGACATGATATCAATCACCTTTTTTTTCCTTAGAATTTTCCTTAGAAATTGTATTTTCTAATAAGAATATTTGTAGCAAATTTTAACCACTAGCAATATATAGTCATAGAATGGGAAGGGTTAGAAAGGACCTTAAGATTACTTAGTTCCACCCCCTCTGCCATTGAACTGGTTAAGATAAAATGTTTCAGTATTTATCCTCCTTTTCACAATTTCTTGTCTTAAAATGCTCTTTATAACTGGTGGAGCATGGTGAATTGTGTAATCTCTTTTTATATAGGCTGCATGCAACCTTTCGTCCCTCTTTTGTTTAGGTGCAACTCTGCAGGTATCTTCTGCTTCTGAGAACATATTTGAACTCTGAATGGCAAACAGCTCAAGACTCACTTGTCCCCTTGAAGAATGACTGTTGTGCTTTTACCCACAGAACCCTCGTACCCAATGCACATGCCACCACAGAGCAATGGCTTTACTCAGGAATATGCATCAAAAAAACCCCCAGGGAGTAGCAAAAAGAAACAGCTGAGAGGCCATATCTGAGCCTGCAGCATTTCTCTTGACAATGCACATCATAGCAATATAAAAGGAAAACACATTAAATTCACATTTAAATTAAAATCACACCAGGTGGCTTTGAATTTTATGAAAGTCCCATGTGGGAGTGAAGCAGCAATGAAGCACTTGGAGGCGAGATCACAGAGGTAACAGTAAACAAGACACCAGCCCTACCTCTCATGCAAAACACGGAACAGGTCTAGATGGGTCAGAATATGATGGGATAACAGGGGCTTTCCAGTGTCCTCAGGGTTACTGAAGTGAAATGGCCTGCTGCCCAGATATGAAAGAAGTCACTGAGCTGGAAAGGCAACTTTTGCAGTGCAGTTCTGCTAATGGGGTCCGTTGGACCCTCAGGTTCTTAGTCACAATCAGTTTAATTGTTCCTAGACCTCTCATTAGAGTTCTGCAGCACAACAGGGATAGGTAGGACTTGGATTCCCTTCTGCAGTTTGGGGTTGGGGTGGGGTTTGTTTGGCCTGCCTCACATGTCCTCTCAAAGAGCATACCTGGGAATACTGCACATAGCGCAGGCACAGAAGCATCTTCAGCATCCTCCTTTTGCGATATCACTAACTCCTGATATAAATACCCAAAGTAGATTTGGCTGCCTAGGGTTGCGCCAGGAGGCTCTAGCTCTGCCAGTGGGGCCATCTGCAACTTCAGTTCTACAGCATTTGTGCAAAAAATACTTTTCCTATTGCTGTGCCAGGCAAGGTCCCCTGGGGTTCTTTACCTGCTCTGCAGAGTGGTTGTGCATGGCAAATGTGTTGTGATTAATGAACCCATATGGAAATATTTCCTCTCCCATTGCACTTTATTGTGAAACACTGGCAGTGAGTTATTGGGGACAAGGGAATCATTGCTCTTTGCCTACTCAGCTCTCTGCAATTTAGACACAAGAGGCAGAGGAGGAAGATACTTTCTCTTTTAATGCACTGGGGACCAAATTTCAGGGTAGAGTGGTATTTCTTTCTGTCCTATCAATTTTGGCCAAATTAATTGCAGGTTGAAATGAGCATTTACACACATAATTAACGTCACTGATTTATAGGCACAATCAGCTGATTAGACAGCTAAACATTCTCATTTACATCCACAATTAATTGCACCAGCAATTGATGTTAGGTGTGCAAATTAGCAGTTATTAAAAATAGAAAGATGGTCTCGTAAAAAGCTTCATATATCAAAGACACCTTTTTCCCAGTAAAATAGAATAAGTAAAAAAAAAAAAGGAGAAAGTGCTTTTCTTAAAAGGAGAAAGTGCTTTTCTTGTTGTGGTTTCCAAATATAGCTTAACACTGCAGTAATGACACATTCCCTTTTATATATATATGCATTATGTAATTGCATCTTAGACACCCTCACTGGAGTGCTATTGTTAGCATATGCTATACAGACACATTCAGAGGTAGTTCCTGCCCTGAAGAGATTTTATATTTTGGACTTCTGGCATCACTTGGGTGGAAACTTACATTTTTTTGTGACTCTAGGTTGTGAGTCTTGTGTACAGATATTCCAGAAAGGTATAGAAGAAATAATAACAGCTCTGCATTGGAAAATATCTTAGGTTCACTGTAAGGCAAACTGATGCCAATGAAGCTGAAATACCAGATATGTATGTTATTGTTTTGGTTGTGACTGCATCCAGAGGCCTAACCTACAGTCTCCTAGAGGTACTTCAAAAATATACAGAAACTGACTATCCATTTCCCCAAAAAGCATTTAATTGGGATCAAAAGAAATGAGAAGGAGTGAAGAAGTTAGAGCATCAGAAGAAAGGAAAAAAAAAAGAGTATGGTAACACTACTGCCATCTAGTAATGCCACTACTTCATCTAATAAATCAAGACAGTCCATTAAAGTTTCTAATTTCACTAGAAAATAAAAAAAAAAAAAAAAATCCACCCCCCAAAAAATCCGTAATTCCATAGCTCTTCTGTTTGTGGAGAAAATCTTACAAGTAACTGAGTTTCCTAAAGATTTTAAAGTTACATCTGTGAAATGCACTTTGAAAAAGCAATATAAAATCTTATTATTGTAAAATTGTTCCTATTATTTTTTTCTAAAGACAGACCATTGCTTGGGTTGTCAATGCTGATACAAACAAGCTTACTACTCAGAATGACAACAATGGAGTAGGAAGCAATTATATTGCTGATAATCAGATGGCAACATAGATATCATGATTTGAGGCTTAAGGTCTTTTCTGCCCTCTGGAGGAAGTGGAGAATGCTTCAGCATGTAATTATTTTAATTTATTTCAGTACACTATATAGCACAGTATACAGACAACTGAGAATGCATAACCCCAAAGGATATGGATCTGAGGCAAGATGACAAGTGACATTCTTTTTCTGTTATACTAATGAGAGAAGGCAGTAAAGTAAGAAACAAACAGAAAAGCAAGCTAGTCCTTGCACTGCCCACAAGTGCTGAAGAAGCCAGTCAAATACAAGCAAAAAGTTACCTGTATTTGTAGCTCTGGAAAAAAAGTATTTCTGGTTCTCAGGGAAGAGACACTAATTCTGATGAGACAGTGGCTCCCCAGGGTTTCCAAAATGAAGAATTCTCATTTTGCTTCAGGTTTACATACAAACTTGAGGATGGTCAGCACAGACTGATACCTACATTTGAAACACTTCTAGTGACACTTCAGTTGCATGATTAAAGCACGCCCAATTGTGCATTTAATTAAGATGTGCTAGTGTAATTATATGATAATACCAAATATTTATAGGACTGCTTTCCAAGTTTAAAATGCTTTACAAACATTAATTGATTAACTGGGATGAATGTAAATGATCTCAGATTCCCCAGGAACTGGCAGCTGACCAACCTAATACCTGCCTGCAGGAGCAAGGTATAGTATAGCTTTTACTTAGCAGACTCAAATCCAGGTGAGATTTCATAAACTCATGGTGGGATAAGTTTTCATTTTCTTGTGTGCAGAAAAATCTCACTCTTTTCTCCCTTACCCTTAGAAATGTGATATTCTGTCCTAAATCTGTGGATAAAAAACTCCTCCCTGGCTCCTAAATACAACCTGACTATCCACTCTTTTATAAAAGGCCTTTGGTGAATACACTGGTATCACTGAAACTGAAAAGGCTTTTGGCACTGACTTAACAGAGCTTGGGATTTTATCCCGTTCACTTTATAGTAGCTGGGTGTCACTTATGCTCATTACTTCTCTCTATGAAATGCTTTGCAGACATTATTCT